AGAGCGGTTTTTTTTTTTTCTATTTGCAAGGAGTTTGAAGCAAGAGAAAGTTTAGAACCGTGCAGGGAGCGTTGCTGATGAGGTTATGGTAAGGCACAGAAAATACCGGATGGTTTCTACTCTCAGTGTGAGAAAAGACAATCAGGAGGGAGTGTTTCTGTAGCTGAGGTATTTTCTGGGCTACCCGTGGGCAACTCTCACCCTACAGTCGGAGGCAGAGTGTAATATGTTGTTGGAGTGAGTCCAGAGGAGGCCACAAAGATGAGGGACAGGGACCTACTGGAGAGAGTCTAATGGAGAGCCACAAAGATGATCAAGGGACTTGAACATCTCTCCTGTGAAGAGAAACTGAGAGAACTGGGGCTGTTTAGCCTTGAAAGGAAACGGCTGAGAGAGGATCTTAGTAGTGTGTATAAATATTTGAGGATTTGGGATCAAGAGGATAATGCCAGTTTCTTCACAGTGGTGCTCAGTAATAGGGCAAGGAATAATGAGTTTAAGTTAGAACATAGGAAGTTCCACTTCAATATGAGGAGAAACTTCTTTACTGTGAGGGTGACAGAGCACTGGAACAGGCTGCCCAGAGAGGATGTGGAGTCTCATTCTCTGGAGACTTTGAAAACCCACCTGGATGCGTTCTGGGTGGTCCTGCTCTGGCAGGGGGCTGGACTAGATGATCTCTAGAGGTCCCTTCCAACCCCGAACATTCTATAATTCTGTGATGAGGGGGCTGGAACACCTCTGCTATGAGGACAGACTGTTCAGCCTGGAGAAGAGAAGGCTCCAGGGAGACCTTCCAGTGCCTGAAGGGGCTACAGGAAAGCTGGGGAGGAACTCTTCATCAGGAAGTGTAGTGACAGGACAAGAGTTAAGGGTTTCAAACTGAAAGAGGGAAGATGTAAATTAGGTGCAAGGAAGAAATTCTTCACTGTGAGGGTTGTGAGGCACTGGCACAGGTTGCCGAGAGAAGCTGTGGAAGCCCCCTCTCTGGAAGTGTTAAAGGCCAGGTTGGATGGGGCTTTGAGCAACCTGGTCCAGTGGCAGAGGGATTGGAACTAGATGGTCTTTATTATTCCTTTCAACCCAAACTAGTCTATGATTCTGTGATATTTTGGAATAACAGAAGTGTTTGCATGGCTTTAAACAAGTGGGAGATGGTCAAACCTGGTGTAAATTTTTTTGTCTGTCTCTATTTTTTATTTAAATTATTATTTTTTAAAAGGAATTGGGCTGCAAAATGAAAATCACGACTGCACCCTGGCTAAAGGTTCTCTGAATGGTAGCGTTTTAGTCTAGTGATGAGTACTCTGGAACTGTATGCAAGCGCTAAGCTCTTGCATGGTGTTCCCTGCAGTGCTGCGTCTCCATCCGCAGGGGTGCCAAGTCTGTCCTGTTTAACCAAGACATGGCCTCAACTACGCTTCCGGTTGTGTTATCAATGATTATGATGATAAATCTCTAGAGAAGCTCCTGCTACTATAAAATACTCTGTGCATCCCTCAGCTATCTAGACTTTGCTAGCTCATCAAGTGAGTCTTGGTACTCATTTGATGTGAAACTTTTGTTTCAGATATTGATTTAGATATCTGAAATGTCACTGGAAGACCCTATCTGGAAAATTCCCTTCTCTGTTATGACACATCTGTATTAGTATAGCTTGTCTTATGTGGGAGCCAGAACTTTTGTGGAGGTAGCTCAGCTTCCAGAGAAATTGCAGACTTCATGCCGTGGCAAGCATGCCGTAGCCTGCACTGCCTTTTGAGCAAAAAGCAGAGCAATATTAAACTGTCAGTCTGGTAGCATATGCCTCTCTCTGAGAGAGGGTGGTAAAAGAGGGAGTGTTTTTTTCACTGTAACAAAACCATGATGCTCTTGCAGAAGAAAGGAACAGCAGTGAAGCTGGTTATTAACTGGGCAGTGTGATTCACAGGAGTTGCCGTTCTCTCATCTCTGAAACCACAAACTACTGTTAGAAAATGACAGTGCAAACCACTTTCTTCTCATGAACCTCCATGGGAAAAACAAGCAAGAATACTCTCTTTTTCTCTCTCTCTCTCTTTCCCCCTCAAGACAAATATTGTGGTTGGTTTTTTATTTCTATGAGCAGTACCTCTTCCACCCACTGACTTCCTTGGGTTTACTAAGAATTTTGCATGAAGAGTGGGGCAAAGCACAGGAAACACTGGATTGTTAGTGAGATTGCACACTGGAGCTTTTCTTACAGACACGTTGTAATGTACTGCTTTTGTAGCCTGGGCTTTCTAGCATTGTTCCTCTGGCTGATGCAGGACTCCTGTACTTGTGGGTAGGAATGCAGAAGGAAACTGGCAATTGGCTTCCCTTTTTTTATAGTTAAGTGTAGAGTTTGTAGTTCAGGATCCTACCGTGCGATGTAGGTTATTCTTTTGTGGTGCAGCCATCTCTCTTGGCTCTTCAGGATCCGTTACCTTTCTGTATACCAGCCCTGAGGCTGCTATGAGTGGCTCATCGCTGCTGTTTATGGCTGGAACAAACCCTGTGGAAGAGCAGAGGGCTCGCTGGGAGAGAAAGCGCAGCCGGACAGCCAAGGAGCTGCTGGAAACAGAACACAAATACCTTGAGCAGCTGGATTTGGTGGTCACAGTGAGTATTTCAGCCCCTTCTGATATGTGGGTACCTTCAGCCAGTATCTGCTGATGTGTGTTGTCATGGGGAAGCATCAGCAGCAAGACTTTGATGCGTACTTACTACATGGGATAGCTGCTCGAGCCAAAAGAGTAATTGTTTTTATTTTTCTTCTACCTCCTTTGTAATATCTGATAGCTTGTGGTTTTGCCCCCTTGGCTTTGGTCTGTGCACACATCTAAGTCTTTAAGTTTTGATTACATAGGAGACTCAGGATGTCTGAGATGTATGAAATGTAGACAAGACAAAGATAAATTGTGAACAAGGTGGTGAAAAACAGATGTGTCTAGGAATACTGAAACAGATTCTCAGTGCTGTAGTGCTATTCCACATGTTTACTGTTTTGTTTAAAGTTACCAAGAAGGCTTACCTCTGATGATAGATACCTTATGTAGGCATTCACAATATTTGATATTTTTCGCAGCTAAAGAGTGTGCAGGCTGCAACTTCTTGCTTCTGCTGTGTGCCATGAATAACCTTTGAGTGACCTGTGAAATTATCTCGGTTTTTCCTATTTAGTTCTTTGTGACAATTCTGAAGGCCAAAGGGACGCTGAAACCTGCTGTGTTGGAAACCATATTTGGACCCCTGGAATCCATATATTCAGCCAGCCAGTAAGTGAACACACTGATGTGATTCTTGTAATTATATGCGGGTGACCCTATACTGATGACAAAGTAAGATTTCAGGAAATAAATCTCACACCTTTAAAACAGGGATTCATTTCTAGCACTGCTAGCCTTGGTGGCACTTGCAGGTGTACCAAGAAACTGCTGATTTGTATCTACATATCCAGATGCCCAGTTGCTCTCTGAAGAGTGGTTTAAACCCAGTGGATCTGCTCCGCAGTATTTTGGAAGGATGTGTTCTGTAGCTTACTCTGAGAGCACCAAGCATATATTTGGCACAGGAAGTGAATGTGTGATGGAGATTAACAAAGGAAGGTCAGCACAGGAGTGAAGCAGAGGGAGCTGTGAAAATGCCATGAGTAACGTGCCCCTCACAGGCCATCTTTGTTCCTTTTGTACAGTGTTCTGTCCCTTCACCTAGAGAAAGGGAATTTGGGAATAGGACTGGAAAATTTCTCTCGAAATCTGGAGCTTTATGGCAACTATGCTGAGAATTTGGAGCAGGCAAATAAAACCTTGAAGGTAAATATGTCCTTTATTCTTCATGTTCTTTCTTCTCTCTCAATTATGCAGAGTACCTACATACTTTCATTTTTTGTCTGTTTATAGAGCGATCTATTTTCTTCCTTTTTCTGGGCTGCTGCTATTTTCTTTCTCAGTCTTTCTTCCATAATAGAATGGGGAAAACTTCTCTACTTACTTAGAGCTTCAAATTTTTTAAGCTTGTTTCATGTGTTTGTATGTGCATACACTGAGCATATCTTTCTCAGAATTCTGTGTTTACTCCCACTCCTTCTTTTTAAGTGGAAACATCAGGGGACAGTGATCCCTTTCTGGAGAATTATCAGGTGTCCTAGTCTTTCCCACTACTACTAACTGTGTCCTCACAGTGGGATTTCCTTTTCCTTCCCCATTCTTTTTGCTATGGTAGAAGAAAAAAAAGTTCTTTCCAATTTACCTCTCCAAGTACAACCTGTCTTGCAGGAAGTTTCAGAAGTATATATTTTTATTTCAATATCCCAGCAGCTCTATCTGGAATTTAAATGACCTGTCTTTCAGGTTTTTTTGTCTGTGCTTGTTTCAAGGTGCAGGATGTACTGGGTTGTTTTCCTTCTGTTCTGTTTACATGCATATATTCACACTTTTGACTTCCCAAGAGAAAAACATGTTTGGGTACTTGTCTTGAGGTGCTGGGAAAGTGGGGCTGCATTACTTTGTCTTGAAATTAGTGATCTAGTTGAGAGGTGTCCCTGCCCATGACAGAGGGGTTGGATTAAAGGATCTCTAAGGTCCCTTCCAGCCTAGGCCATTCTATGATTCTATGAAAAAGCCACAGGTGGAATTCTTGTTTTCTTATCTAAGTCAATCTTTTTTCTTTTTCCCCCTTTATTTCTGTTTGCTGAGTATACTAGTTTTGTACTACTGTGTATGTGTGAAGAGGGGATGCTCCTTCTGTTACCTGCTGGACAATGGAGGCCAGGAGAAAGGGAATTGCTTGCCCATGGCCACAAGAGAAGTTGATGCTTATCTTTAGGACTGAAGTCCCAAGTTCAAGAATGTTAAGAGTTCCAAGCGCTGGTGCAGACTAGAGCGCATATTTTGTTCTATAGTCTCAAAGCTATATGCCTTTTTTGGTGCACACAGGAGCAATTGAGGAAAAATAAGTCATTTCGGCGATTTAAGAAGCTCCAGGAGACACGACCTCAGTTTCAGGGAAGGAAGCTAGAGGATCTGCTTCCTTTGCCCCTGCAGAGGTTGCACCAGTAAGTAAACAATTCTCAATCTTTAAGGTGTTATAATGAGAGCTGGGGAAAAGGAACATGAAAGTGTCTTGGCTGCTATGGGAGGTGAAGTTGCTTAACGTGCCTCAAAATCACAGCACACAGACAGCAATGAAACAGACCTAAAGATATGTCGGTAAAGTGGAATCATTGTACATGGATGGGAGATGATGCAGAGAGGTAGCTACATTTAGCGGTGGCTCCCAAGCCTTTCATCTAGCTCCTGGGAAGAATTGAAGTGGAGGCGTTCTGTCATTTTGTTACGCTACTGTAGTTAGGCTCTGAACAAAAGCAAGCTGCAAGTGCTGCAGGAGTGCTCTCTGCCAGTGAGGATCTTGCTCAGCTTTTGTGCAGGTTGCTGACCTGGAACGTTGCGAGTTTCCTCTCTTGTAGGTGAGATGAGATTAATGAACATGAGGGAGTATTTTTCTCCCCTCTCTGGTTGTCAGGGCCACGCGCTTTCCTCAGATTTCGTGCCTATTGTGGTGGTGTGAGCCTGGGCAGATCCAGATTGCTGCAAGTTTCCCTTAAGGCATCATCTGCCCTTTGAAGAGGCAGGCTGACTACATGAGGTGAGTGCTGCAGCACTCAAGGGTCACCCTTTCTCAGGGAGGATGTGTGGGTAAGGGCGTTTGCTGGGAAGCCAGATGCTTCTGCTTTAGGTCAAGTAGCTGCTCTTCAACCATGGTCTTATCCATGCTAAAGCAAAATAGAGAGATTGAGGACATTGTTTCTTTGAAAATAAATCAGGGTGAGCATACTACAGTCTTTCAGGTAGCTTTATATAACCTTTTAAATCAGCTTGGCAAATATAAATGTAAGCTTTTATTTTACTCTAATTTGGATCATTTCTTTAAATTTGTAAAATAGCACTATATTTGTTGCTGTCCAACTGCTTGGAAAAATGGTGGCTTTTTAACAGAAAATTGAATCATTTCGTTAATCGGCTTTTTCATGTGCAAGTTTATTCAAAACTCTGTTGCAGGTACTGCAGATCATGTGACTTCTGCCAGTTCATGAAGCTATTCCATATGATACTTCTGTCATTTCAGATTGCAAATAGTTTGACTCTGCATTTGCAGAGATCTGCTCCTTTCTGGTAAAGAAGGGAGAGGAAAAAAGAAAAAGGCAGCTCCTAGTCATTATAGAAATGCTTTTATTTTCTTGTGTGGGCAGGAAACATGTGGTATGAATGATACCATTCAGATATAAAAATACATAGTTCAAAGAGAAATTTGTCTGTTATTTAAAGTGTGTTTATATGAATGCTAAGCAAGTCTCATGAACTTAAGTAATACTTGAGCTTGCTTTTATCAGATCCCCAGGAAATGCCAAAGTCTTGCAAATGTATAAAATACTTGTGTTAATTTAGTTGATAAATTTGAAAATTAATGTGATTTGAAGAATTGTGACCAGAAGCTACTTGGTCAGACTTAGAGGTGTTTGCTTTATCTGGTGGAGTGTTGTTCATTATTCTATTACTCATAGGAGATGCCGATGTCCCTGGTACCTTTTCGTTAAACAAACCTGCTCTCTCTTAGGTACAAGCATTTCCTCAGAGATCTGCTGGAGAACACCAGCCCAGACAGTGCTGAGTACCAGAAACTCGCAAGTATGATTCCACCTGCAAGACTTTGATCAGTATTAGCCTCCTTGCTAATAATATTTGGATTATTGTCTTCTGTCTACTTCCACAAGAAGATCTTCCTGTCTCTGGGGTTCTAGTGGGTTACTATTTCCCTTCACCTTGACCAAGATGTCCCTGAGAACACTTTGGGAATAAAACTGTAGAGTAACTGACTGCAAAAGTGACCTAGGGGTTAGGTCAGAGAAATGGCAGCTCTATTTTTTACAATGAGAGTGGTGAGGCACTGGAATGTGTTGGCAAGAGAAGCTGTGGGCAGTTCCTCCCTGGAAGTGTTCAAGGCCAGGTTGGACGGGGCTTTGAGCAATCTGGTCTGGTGGGAGGTGTCCCTGCCCAGGGCAGGGGGGTTGGAACTAGATGAGCTTTTAAGTCTCTTCCAGTCCAAGTCATTCTATGACACTATTGATCATGTGCCTCAATTTTCTAGGATAATTCATGTCCTTCATGTCATATTTAGTAGCAGTTAACACCACTTGTGGGACACTTCCTGGTTTTGCTTCCAAATCCAGGGAATTATTACTCCATCTAATGTTTCTTTCTCAAACAGAAGTTTTCTAGAACTGCAGAAGTGTTAGTTGGAGAAAGGCTTCTGGAGGTCATCCAAACCAATCTCGTGCTGATGTTGCTGAATAAATCTATTGTTGATACTTGGTTCAAAACATTTGCTTCTGAATTTCATTTTATCTTTTCATAGCAAGGTAGATAAAATGTAATATATGCTCATTTGTGATAACCTTGGAATACACCGCTATGATTTCAGAGGCTGTGAAATCTGTTTCTGACGTATCTCAGTGGGTCCAGGACATCATTCGTAAGAGAGAGAACTTGCTGCAGCTACTTCGGGTTCAGAAACTGCTCAAAGGACAGAAGACCCAGGTGTTGTCTCCAGGTGGGTTTTACTGTCAGCTCTGCTTCTGACAAGTTGAGATAATTGGAGATGTTTGCCTTAGTCTATGACTCAACTCGTATTAACCAGTTTTCCCCTTCTGCCCAAATTCCATAGATAGGTGGTAAAGGAATATAACTAGTAGTTCAAGCACTTTTTTGTTTGTGGATGTGGTTTTGTTGTTGTTTGTGGTTTGGTTTTTTGGTGTTTTTTTTTTTAAATTAAGTATTTTTGTGTCAAGATAAGCAGCAGCTTAACTGCCTGACACTTAGACAGGAGGAGCTGATGACATATAGTTAGAAAGTTAGTAACAGGAACCTCAGGAAGTCATGAGTATAAGTCCTGGGTGCGAATGAAAGGCAGACATTAAATAATTTTGGAAGAATGCAAGTAGAGGTGTTGTCCCTACTCCATTGCAAGAACCATGAATTTCTGTGTTTCAACGGCTGAAGAACTGTGGTGGTTTGGGTTTTTTACCTTAAGCTACATGTGTCAGGAACTTATGCTCGCACATCTTTTTCTGCATAGTTAAACTGTGCCAGAAATCAGAGTATTTATGTTGATAGGTGAGATATATAAAGTCACAGTCACATCTAATTGGATAACAGTTTTATGACATCTTGTGTGACTGGAAAAATTTAAAAAAAAAAATTACACCATGTTTGATCATCTCTCTCTTGGTCCCGTAAAACGTTGCAAACACTCACATTATTCCAAAATCGAACAGAATTATAGACTGGTTTGGGTTGGTAGGGACCCTAAATATCTATTAACTACCGGAAGTCCATATATAGTTGGATAACCTGTGAAACCTTTTTTTTTAATTGGCGCACACACGAAAAAAAAAAAGGAAAAATAACAAATGTTCAAAGCTTAGGCTAACTTCTGTTTCACCACTAATGACAAACAATTGGGCAAGACAATTTAAGATAGTACATGGTATGTTTTCTGAAGGCTTATGTTAATTTTAAGGTATGCATACCATTTTCAAGCCATGTTTTTGTTCTGGTCGCTTTGAACAGACTTGCATATCATAGTATCCTCTTATTTAACATAGTATATAACAACTTTAATCAGCTCCTCACCTACAAAAGGTTTTGGGCTGATAATGGCTTCTGCAAGGGTGGAATCAGTGCTGGTGATCTGGCCCCAGTTAATACTCGGCTGCCTCCTTGTGGCTGGAATTGATGTAGAACCTGGTAGCCTTGAAGCTCACCGTATTCCTATTTGTCTCAATACATCCTTTTTAAAATTTTATTTATTTTATCTTCCAGTGATGAGCTGACAACTGTCTGTCTCTATTTCCCTTGCATGCCTAGAGCGCTGGTATATCCGGGAAGGCTGGCTTTTGGTGGTGCCTTCAAAGGGAGAAGAACTGAAGCGGAGAATGTTCTTCCTTTTTTCTGATATCTTTATATCAGCAAAGCCCTGCCATCCACTCCACCCGCTGAACTCCAACAAACTGGCATGCCGGGCTGTCTACCCACTTCACCAGTGCGTGGTGGATAAAGTGTTCGGCCACACGCAGAGCCAGGGAGGGCTCCTCAGTGTAAGTCCTCCCACTTCTTCTTGGCAGAAGCATCAGTGGGGTCAGACTTGTGAAGCAGGTCTCTAGCTGTCTCAGCAGCAGCAAGCTGAGATGATGAGAGTGGTGGCAACGGTGAATGCGATGAACTAGTCTGACCCTTCTTTTTCTGAGTGAAGTACCTCCTGGGCACTCTGGGGTACAGGTCTCTGGTTGTTTCCCTTAGCTCAGTCAAGGAGGGTATGATAGTGGTCAGACGTGCCCTCATCAGAGCCACATGTTTGGGGGTGCAGCTCCAATGTGACAATGATTACGTAGCATTACATTGACTGTGGACTGAGCTTATAGAAAACTCTGAAAAACAAAGAATGTGAAAAAATGTGGGTATTACCACAACAGCTGTTGCTTGTGTGTCTAACTCCCTGGGGTCTGCAGGGTCTTTGGCTGGGACTGATGCCTTCAGCAGTGGCTTTAAGTTCAGGTCTTCCTAGGTTGCAGCACCTGGGGGCTGTGTTAGCTCATCCCTTGTGAGCTGTGACAAGGAAGATGATTTGGGCAAGCTGTGATCTGTAGATGGTGGTAGCGGGAAGACCCCAAAGGGCAGCTTGGAATATGGGAGAAAACTGGATGAAAAGCTGCTGAGAACTGTAACTACCCTCTTCCCAGCACCCTATTAAGTGAAAATGAACTGTCTGGCTGGTGCTTGCTCTGTACTGTCCAGCTTCTGGCTTCTCCCAGTACCAATGCCAGATTTTTCTGTCTGGGAAATAGTGGAAATCTGCACGCAAGGCTGAGTCGAGTTCAGTGGTGACAGCTCTCCTTGTGTCAGATTTGCTGCCTTGGCAAAGAATGCCACTGAGCGGCAACAGATCCTGTTTCCCTTTCAGCTTTCCTTTCCACACAAGACATTGTTGTTGATGTCCAGTGACCAGCAAGATATTAATGACTGGTATCAGTGTCTCGCAGCTGCAGTCAGGTAGGCATCTACTTCCCAGAGGCAGAAGGGGCTGAGGGAAGGGGTCAGAATATAAAAATGTTCATATGGACCTGTGCATTTGCATGTATTACATGGTTATAAGGCTGACGTAGAAGACCTGACTCTGGCAGCCAGGATACAAGGGAATATTAAGAACAGATTTCATGTATTAACGGTGAACTTTGTGCCACCTCCCCCCCCCCTTTATGTTTTTTTTTCCTCCACAGGAAACTGAAAGGCTGATACCACCACCCCACCCCCCGAGCATGAGACAGCAAGAGGGTCGATTGTCCTGCCAGTCTAATAGCCTACACAATCTTAGGAAACACTCAAGGACATTTATCAGGAGAACTGCATTTAGAGGGACTACACACCATTGCTTGGGAGATTCTAAATGCTTTGTCAGCTGTGCTTATTTTAATACAGACATTGCAAAAATAGGTATGCACACTAAGGGTTTGTATATAAAAAAATCTGTATTAAGAATTTTCTCCAATGTAGCTTAGAGGCCTGTAGCTTTTTTCTTTTTTTCCCCTCATATTATTAAGGACAAGCACAAGAAAGCTTGATTTGCATTCCCTGATTAAATGTCTTTCTGGAAACAATGTTTTCACATTTGTCTACATGTATGTCTACCTGCTCTTGTTTCTGAGTCCTTTGATCAAAAGGGTATTTTGGATAACTGTAACATGGGTATAACACTGTATCTTCAGCTAGTGCTGCAGGGCCACAGTTGCTTTTTTTCTTATTCATATCCTTTTCTACCAAAATAGCTTGACAGTTAATTGTCCCCCTAAGAAAGCAAAAGGCAGGCAGATCAAGTGAAGATTATTCAGTGGTTAGAATCCTGCCTCTCAGTCTCTCATCAATTCCACAGAAAAGCAGAAACTGCTTAACTATAGGAAATAAAGTGGTACATAACACAGTTATGCTTGTCAAAAAGCATTCACATTTCTAATTTGAATCCTAAGAGATTATGCAGATGAAACAGTACTTGCCTTTGCCTTCAAGGTATAGCCTTACTGCTCTGAAATGCTACAATGAAAAAAAGCAACAACTCAGGTAGCACCTCTGCTCATGAAGCACAGAGATCTCCAGAGGGCTACAGCTGGCATTCTGGGTCATCAGTTGCTTTTAATGTGCTAGGGTTCAGTTTAGTTGGATGAAAGACTGATTTAAGGAAGAAATAGATAAGGTATTACTCGTATTTCATTAAAGCTTCAATGTGGACTCTTAATAACGTTGAGGCTCTGCAGCAATAGCAGTTTGGTTTATCTCTTCTACTGAGGGTGAAAACATCTCAATGAGATGTTAGTCAACTGCAGAGTGCATCTTCAACATCATTACAAAGATAAAGGTCTGTCTGAACACTGATATTTTAAGTTAGGTTTGTTTATTTTTACTTCCCTACAGCCAACTCAGTACATTGGGTCACTTATTTGACTTAAGTTTGTGAAACCTGGGACGGAAAGGAGGAAGGAACCCAACATGGTTGGTTGGTTTGTTTTTTTTTCACTTGGAAGCTACAGCTAGGACTTCCAGGTATTCGCTAGCAGTCCTTGAAATCAAAGGTAAAGCTAGCTATTTAAATTTCTTGTTTCCCAGTAGTTCTATTACTCTCTGAAAAAGTTCTGTTCTTCCTTTTTGTTCTAACAACGTAATACAGATTTCTTGCAACCCTACACCCAAGATTGTCTCCTTACTATAAGTCCCTTTGGTGCATCCTCTTTTAAGACTTATCTCAGCATGACCATCCTATTTACATTCAGTGCTTGTAAAACAGCAAAATTAACTTGTTTTTTCACTGAATTTCCCACCCTGAAAGGCTGCACACTGGCTTCTAGAAAACACTGTAGCTCTGTCACAGCAGAGACTCCTACCCAGAGGGCAAAGCTGCTGGAACAGAATCATCGAATCAGAGAATAGTTTTAGCTGGAAGAGAACTTGAAGATCATGAGTCCAGCCTTTGTCCCAGTCCTATCTATCCTGGCTAAATGATGCCCCTCAGTGCAACACCCACCTGTCTCTTTAACACTTCCAGGGACGGCGACTCAACCCCCTCCCTGGGCAGCCTGTGCCAATGGCTGACAACACTCACAGTAAGAAATTCTTTCTAATATCCTACCTGAACCTCCTCTGGTGCAATTTGGATCCATTTCCCCTTGTGTTATCACTCTCCAGGAGGGAAAACAGACCAACTCTCGCCTCTCTACAATAAATTACTAACTCATATGCACAGGAACATAATCCAAATAGAAGCAAACTCACTTTCTGAACAGAGTTTATTTACACAGAGAATATCAACCACTAGTGCTCCCAGCTTGATTTCCTTCTCTTGCTGAGTCTCCGTTCAAATCACAGGAAGAAGCAAGTAAAGACTGAGGTTGTGCCCATGTCACGGTAACTCAAAGTCAGCAACCAGCCTTCAGACCTGGGACATCTTCTATTCCTGTGCTCCAGGACCAGACACAAGCCCTCTGGAGCAGGGGCAGCTCACACCGAGCCCTGTCCCCTCAGAGCAGAGGAGGGTGCTAGACAGGGGTGCCCTCGGGGGCCTGTGGGGCTGCCGCCCGCTTCATCTCCTCCCGGTAGCCCTTCAGGAGCTGATTGAGCAGCGTCTTCTCGGTGTCGCGGCGCGGGCGGATGAGCGGTGGCCAGGGGTTCCCCTTGAGCTCGATGACAGCCATCTTGGCGCGGTCAAGGCTGTCCCGGTTGGGGATCTGCAGCAGGCGGGTGTAGCTGCCGGGATGGGGCTGGAACCGGGGCGCCAGCACTTTGAACAGCTTGTGGATGAGATCCTTCTCCTGCGGGACGGCACGCTCAGCTCCGGCTCCGCGTCTGCCGGGGGGCAAGGAGGGGTTTGGGGGG